ACGGGTTGTATGTTTTTAAGTAACTGTAAACTGTTTTTTGTATATGGGCTTTTCCTGAAATATAGTTAAAGCAAAGTTAAAATTATACCCGTGCCAATGTTTGTCAGGTGTGAGCCGCCTTGACACATACCTCGATGTTATTCTAAGATAAAGAAATAACTTCGTCTCTGTCCATCCATATGTTACGTGTTAAAACCATGGCAACTTGTCATCAATGTTGTTTTTATGAATACAGTTATAAATACATTTTATCCGATCACATGGACGTCATGATATTACTGAATCCGGCGAGATATCATCGTTTTTCCTTGTATTTTCGAGCTGTTAATTTTCAATATATTATTATAAGCAGAAAGAAGATTTATAGTATTAAGATTATGACGAGAACATTGTATGCACTCGGCCAATACGCACCACTGTGAATAGATTTGATTTCTTTATGTAGTAAACAGGAGTTGTTTACAATAATTCAACAAACATTATTTTTTTATTTCATATTACAGCTAATTATGGCGGTTCTACACCTTGGCTGGATTACAATATATTTATCTGTGCCTTTCATGAACGGATATATATCAGCAACTGCTTGCCGTTTATTTACTATCCAATTAATTAATATGCTGGGAGTGACTGTGGGTAGTTACAGCGGTGCATTCGATTTATTTTATGTGAGTATGACGTACGTGTATACGCCGCAATTGATGCATTGATTTTGACTATGAGGTTATTACGAGGATACCTGAAAGCATGCACGAAGACAGTACAGCGGAAGTATCGACCTTAACCTTATTATTATACAAGGATACATCATGGGAATGGCGAAATCCAAATTATTTAGAACAAAATCAGCAAACTTCTTCGTGTAGAATCCGGTCAAACCCTGGTGGCAGCCATGTTTTAATAATAGAGGACGCGCGTAATCATTCCATATTTGGAATTTGCATTTCCTTATATGGTAGGATGAAAATGCCCCGTAAAATACCGCACGGCACGCAAGTGGCGTCACAGTGACAGATGTATAATATTAGTGTTTATTTCATCAGTACGTTGTTCTTGTAATTCATCTCCATTGATTGAGACACATACAAATACGCGACAACAATTGTAGTTTACCCATTAAAATGGCAAAAGTTAATTTAAAATGTGGCTATTCTATCTGTAGACATGGGGAGACATATTTGAAAATGTCGATGAGTGGAACTATGTGACTATTCTACTATCGATTTCTTGTATTCTAACAATAATTGCCATTAAAGAGATTGAGATCCGATATAAGAAACAACTGCATGGATATCCCCTCGGCTCAGAGTTAATTGTGGTAAGTTTTTTGTCAAGCGACAGATTGACAGTTGTGTAATTCGTATTATTTCACTTATTTTAAGGCGCCATTAAATTTTCCCAATAACGTCATCCTAATTTTCATTGAAACTTTCAATAAATAGTTGCTCTAGTTTATGGTTGAAACTGTGCATATTGATTACTTAATTTACACAAATTAGCAAATTGTAGGTGCTTCACTAATATTTTCATATTTCAGTGGAACTTAATACTAATAATAGTTGTACTCTCACTTAGGTGATACTAGGAACGATAGCGAGTTACTTATTAGATCTAGAAGAGAATTATGGTGTTGCCGTCGTTGGAGAAATACCAGCTGGGTAAGTGAAGTTAATATTATTCCATAATAATAAGTTATATATATACTGCCCTCATTCATGTATGTTATTGTATTGGTTTGCAATTATGGTTCATATTATAGATTACCTACACCGAGTGTTCCTTCAACTACGTACCTCACAGACCTGATTGGTCCTGCTTTCCCAATTGTCATTATATCATATGCTATTGCAATGGTAGTAGTGACATTATTCGCTCAGAAAAAAGGATACAAGACAGATGGTAACCAGGTATGTATCTTGTTACCAGATATGCAAATATGTGCGTAATGTTCATGTGCGTAATGTTTTTGTATTTGTAAATTTCTTTTTGACTACAAGTTTGTGTATTTGATTTCTATTAATCAAGTTGCATTATTCTTCTGTAATTTATGTGCATATTTGATGCGAATGTTTGTATCTTTATTTTCTACTTGTCTGTGGTGGTACTATACAGGAACTGGTAGCTTATGGAACAACTAATGTAGTAGTTTCATTTTTTTCCGGATTTCCGGCTAGTGGTGCTTTCGACCGTACATTAGTCCAAGATGCTGCAGGTGGTTCATCACAGGTAATTGTATATGAAATCTCTGTTAGAAATTGTAATTAAACCCGTTTATCTGAATACTATGCTGTCACAAAACAACCCTAACTACCTTGGTTATAATCTAAGGTCAAGGCGATGACGTTCTTACGAACTCAACCTTAAAGGCGGTGGTCGTCGCGCAGAGCGTGTTCGGATTTCATGTATTACTAAATAAACAATGTATTTTACACGCGTTGTGTACGTCGCTATGAGTCCCATATCGAACAGGACGCGGCAAGACGACTGCCTCCCTTTAAAATAGAAGGTTGGTTTATTATCGGCCTTACCCATACATGCGAAATAAAATTCAGATGACGGATGGTATACTGTGACCTAATTCCACAACCAGCCGGGGTGCTTTAGATTGGCATTTACTATCAGTCCAATGAATAGTGACACATGTCACGATTATTTCAATAAACTATTCAACAAAATATATCAAATCAAATGCGCTCAACAGACAATCCAATACACGTGTGTACAGGGGTGTAATAGTTAATAATAAACAGTGAGTATTCAGGTATCAATGTCAGTAATTGTTCATACATATCGAGAAATCGATTGCTCAGTTATATCCGCAATAAGTCGATGGACCCATCGCTGTCACTTTGGTGATTACACGCACTATATTGTACAAATTCTGGTCTTACTACAGATCACATGACACACAGAAAACAGTTTTGAGTTATTTTCTTTCAGATTGCTGGACTGGTAAATAGTGCTGTGATGCTGGTAGTACTACTGTGGATTGGACCATTTTTTGAGGCTCTTCCATCGGTAATGTATACTTAACTAACTTCAAATTCAGTATATTGGCAATTGGGATTTGTATGGTTTCGATACAAGATTGATATGTTCAACATTACTTGGAATAGGTCAACATTAACAGAAAAGAATTAAATAATTCAGACACTATTTGCGGCAATAATTTGATTCATATTTCCCTAATTTTTCTACATCATTGCTCAGTCATTGTAGATTTGTATATTTATTTTGTCTTCACAAACAACAATTGCTTTTTACAAAATCTGTTTCGATATATGTATTACTCGGCAAGATGACATTTATGATTACGCGACAGTATAATAGCCATCATTCCGGACAAAGATTAAATGATCAACCAACCAAAAGAATTGATGTTGTGACATATTCTTATTAATATTCATGAAATATTTTTTAAAAGCAAATAATCAAATTATTATTACTATGCAACCGCCTAGACAACAATGATTAAGTTGGATATGATTAGGCTGCAATATGACATCTCAAATGTGCATAACAGTGATTATATGTAAACTATGGTTATGGTCAATGGCGTTAGGTGCCCGCAACAATTACGATAAAGACATTCCGTTTTCGACATTGTAAAATTATTCCGTTTTTTGAAGGAAAAAGTGTTTTTACCAAGTAAAATCACATTTATTGCAATTATTGTTCATACATAAGTTTTTAAGAACGCTACGGATTTTTTAATTTGAATGAAATGCAATATGATCGAAAATATAACAAATTATGTTTGAAATAAGGTAATTATGAAAATTATTATTGGTGTATCATGCATTTTGTTAATACATATATGTCTTAAAATATTTCTGAGCTCACTTGCCAAAATCAGATGTTTTCATTTTTTCCACACACAAGAAAACACGAAAGAATTTCACATTGTCGAGAACGGAAAGACTTTATCGCAGTGTTCCGCGTAGGAAGTAAAAGAACGCACATAGCAACGACCCAGAAAACAGCGATCTGAGAAAACTCAAACATAATAGACTACTATTCTGAGTAGGCCCTTCGCAATAATTTTGAACGTTGTTCAAGAACATATTGACTACAAGCCGATCATTGCAACTTCCAGATTTATGTTTTACATCTTACCTCGTGTGTATAGTACCAGATCCACTGTTAATCACCACTCACGCGAAAAGTGACACAAAAAAGGTTAAATCATTCACATTTCTCTGTTGGTATTATGGTTGTTTTTGGTGCATAATTGTAAGCTAAATATGAGCCGGCTAAAACATTATCGTTGTCTATTTGCACGCCCTCTTGTAGCTTCTTTGGTTTATAATTTATTCTTACTTTGTTACAGGCTGTACTTGCGTCGATTATAATGATCACTATTGCCGATGCATTCCGCAACATTCCCCGTGACGCCAAACTATACTACAATGATATATTAGACTTTGTAAGTAAGCATATATAATATGTCACATACCTCTTCTAAGTAGTTTTTTTGAAATTCCTATTGACTAAATTGTAATCTACATTATCTAAATAATATATCTGTTTGCTATCGTATTTGACACTGAACATTATGTTAGAACGGGAAAAAAAATAGTATTCTATATCGACAACTCATACACAACTTTATTCCATCGTTAACTTCGCACAAACATTATAATCAAATTATATTTGCTGGAGATCACCTCAACCGAAATTCTCTGAAAATATTCGATATGAATTGTATAATTTGAGAATTTGTTGTATATTTTGATATTTCAGCCTAAGGATAAGTCATTAAATGACAAAATATTACCTACGATATATCAATAAAATCTGCTTTCACTAAAATTAATCTCTTATGTGCATGTTGTGTACCAGGATTCATAATGTACTGCTTAATATGTATTTGCCAAGAATATATACGATTTGTAAAGAAAGTGCCCAGATCTTGCTCAGCCAAATATATTGCCTGATAGTTACTATATGTATTGTCTTGTTGCTATAGATTTGATGATGAAACTATTGGTATAATTTATCAAATATTAATCAACAGTTTTATTTTAATATCAGCACGTTTGGTGGGTGACTGGTATGGCTGTTATCTGCTTCGATATTGATTTAGGACTTCTCATCGGTGTTGGGTTTTCCATATTCATTCATGTATGGAGAACACAGGAACCGTATTGTACACTATTGGGTAGAATACCCGATACTGAACTCTACAAAGATATCAAGTGGTATTCTGATGTAAGTATAAACTATCACTTACTATATATTATGAGAAGTAAATTCAAGAAGGGACACATTAATCACTCATATTTCCTGTGACCAAATACTGCTTTGTGTTCCAGGCCAATGAATGTCCTGGGGTCAAGATATTCTGCATGCATTCGTCACTGTATTTTGCAAATACAGCACATTTCAAGGCAAGAGTCTACAAATTGACTAAAATCAATCCAATGCAAATATTGCGACAAAAAGCCAGACAGGAACAATTAGAATTATTGGAACGGAAGAAGAAACTAAAAGAAATAAAGAAAGACGATAGTGTAGACGTCATTGTGCCTCAAGAATCAGAACAAGAAATGTCACAGGTGAGCATGCTATAGGTTACATGCACCGATGTTGTGGTGTTCCTTGATTTTGGTTTTCTTCTGTTAATATTTTGTAGCCAATAAGACTATTACGGATTGTTAACACGGCTGATTATGGGAGGAAACCCAAAGTGGATATACATTCAGTACTATTGGAAACATAAATTGGAGGGTCGCTAAATTGTTCTTATTTTCGAGATACCGAGTCTAGAAAGTGGTCTATCATTTTTCAGTCTTCAGTCTCGAAAAAGATTCAAGCGTGCAAAAATTAGGTTGGAAAACAACAAAATTGTCCTGAAGTTTAAAATTTCTATTCGATCGGGGAAACGTCTCTCACTACACAAACCAAATACATATATTCACTAAAAATATTTACATATTTGACAAAATGCTTTGAAATCTTTTTTTGTATTCTGCTAAGGGTAGTACACAATAGCCGAGGTCTTCAGCACACGTCCATCCACAGTAATGTATTGCTCAAGTAATCATAGACTCACGACCTTCTGTTTGACGTCGCTTTGAAATAAAACTAACAAGGAGGAAGGACGACTTAAAAAGCAAGCTCATTGTATATTTCAAAATATTTAAATTGATGGTAATGTTTGAAATTAAAGACAAACATATACTGATATTGATCAGTTCCAATCGATGTATATCATTTTTAACAGTATTACAATCACTGTTTTCATTTCTTAGATTTAGTATTTATTTCTGACTCACTAGATATGCAGACCGATTCGACAGAATACAGCAGAAGGGTTATGACTTTATAAACTGCAGTGTGATAGATAAATGCTAAGGCGCAAAATAAATGTTCGGAGTAAAGATTGTTATCAAACAAAACATTTTGTTAAATTTGCAAAACTCTATTTGACAGGTCGTTGACCCTGGATGACCTCATTTGCATACTTGTATGTTTTCACAAATTTCGACATCATTTGAGGACGTCAAACGAACTATTACTTTTGCGTAGCCTTTATTGGCCTGACATGCTGTCACTTAACAGACATATGCGATCCCAGTCAGCTGGTGCACACGTGATAATAAAATAAAAACTAAATAAGAGACAAGTTGTGAAACGCGTTTTTTTAGATTCCTACAAATCAGGACAAAAATGACATTCTTTCACAGAAATACGATCCATTGGGATAATATTAAGCCAGCCGATAACAAAATTCGGCCGAATTCGTCGTTATTGTGTGGAAAATCGCTTAAATACGAACACCTAATTACACGAAGAACATAAAACACATTCCTAGGGTATTTGAAACCAAAAATTGTCATTCCAGCTCAGCAGCCAATCAGCGACGGCCTTACAGTCATATGACAATTTCGGCATTTTTGTGAAAGATTGTCATTTTTGTCCTGATTTGTAGGAATCTGAAAAACGCCAGCTGACTGTGCATGCGATATAGTATCGGTGACTTAATGGCGGTAAGAATCTGAATAAAATCTCCAGTCAGATGTGTTTCATAACCTGTTAAAAAGGGGTACACTAATATGACAAATCTTTAATTCGTTGTAAAATCTTACTACAATTAATTGTTTATGGAATAATACACAGACGCGAAGACGAGGACACTCTACCAAACCATATTCCACTGACAATAACAAAAGCAGTGATAACTTGATAGTTGATGAAGACGACAGAGAGATGGGCAGTCCACATGGAACATACATCCCTGAGCTAGAAGACGATGACAGTTACGCTGGTGAAGATGGATTAAGTACAGATCTCTCTCCAGGAAACAAGATTCACACAATTATAATCGACTTTTCTCCCCTCAACTTCATTGATATTACGGGACTAACTGGATTACAGCAACTTTTCAGGGAATATCGTTTAATTGGGATCAAGATTTTGCTTGCACACTGTAAAAGTAAGTATAACGTGTGTGTACCCTTTAGAGACGGAGCTGATATTATAAATATTAATATTATATATTAATATTATTCAAGGAAGTGGAATTGAAACCACTTACCATTTATCACAATTTTTCTTCTCTGGTCAATATAAGGCCCTACACGCAAAGAGCTACCGAGATCTCGTTGGGGCGAGAAAGCCACGAGACTTTTTTTCGCCTGTCTGTATTCCGTTCTCATCTGTTATTGCGTTCACTGTTCCTCTGATATATGTAAATTCCGGGATGAAACCATGGTATTTGAAACAGTAGACGCGATTACTGGAGAGAATTGATCACTATTTCAGGGGGAAAAGGAAGTCTCGTGGCTCTATCAGGGGGAAATTCTTCTCCACGGGGTTCTCCACACTTGTCAGGGGGAATCTCGTCTCGTCTCTCTATCTCGTCCCCTTGAGGTGCGGGGTCGGGGAAGTCACTTATACTTTACAGTCAAATAAGACACACACAACGAAATACGGTTCAACTCTCGTCTTAGTCGGTCAATCGAACACTCTATAAGACACAGCGCCCTGGGGAAAAAATCCCCAAGACTATCGCAAGGCTGACCCAAGACTAGCCCAAGACTGGACTGCCTCAAGGCTCGCCCCAGGACTGGACTCTCGACTGCGTCTATCGTGCTGTACTCTCCAAGACCAACTCAAACTCTCTTTATTCATTTTCAAAACTCTAACCAATTACAAAACAGTAAAAAGACTCTAGGGCGTAACCTTCAATCATAAAGCCAATCACACTAAGTACTGAATACGTCATATCTTTTGATTAATCGTTCACTACATTAATAACTACGAATACTAACTGTCAGAATCGTAGTCAGAGTAGCGACGGTTATCTCGTAATTAGTTCCAAATCACTGAGCCAAGTTCCGTCCAAAACTTCAAATAGGCCTAAACGATGACAGACATAACACAGCAATTCAGCTAATAATCAACTAATTAAGTCGATTAACAGATACGCGTAAACTAATTCATGACAGCTCACTCGCTCTTAACAAGATCTCAGAGTCTCTTGTAACAAGTCTAAGGTCTTTTGATTATTATATTGAGATACCGACATTCTAACACGTGCCATACTGCTGATAAGAGTTACGTAAAACCCTACATTAATATTGCTGAAAACGCACGAATTGTTGAAAGAATTATTCACACAAAAGGCTTATTATGTTTTACTTTAATAAGTTAACTATTTGAATACATTGATGATTGATTAATTGTTTGTTAGATTGGTTGCTCGATTGATTGATTGATATAAGCATGTCAATTTCAATTTTGTTAAATAATACACAAGGGTAACTACTTTTTTACTTGAATATTTTCGCAACGATAAACTTAATGTCCGGCCGCTCACAATGCTAAGAGCACGTTGTGTATTACGTACTGGTTCAAGCAACTTGCAATATTAGGTTTTTAAATACAATGTATTGTTTGTGTGTGGACTTTTATTTCATGTACGTTTTAAAAACGGTTCCTTCTTTCTTTCAGAACGTGTTCGCGATTTTCTTTCTAATGTCCATTTTTATGAAAAAGTTGGAATTGAGGAAACGGCTTGTTTGTTTGTAACCGTCCATGACGCTGTCCTCAGTACAGCTGCACCAGATAAGGTATGGATTATACAGAGCCAGGTCAATGTCCGTACACTGCTCAGTCGAAGACATTTTATGAATTTCAAATTCAAAGTATTAAAATAAAAAAAAACGATCACGACATTGTGTATAGGTACCGTTGCCATAATTACAACAGCGGGTCATATTCAAAATAAAAAGTTGGTGATGATTTTTTAGTCAATCCTACATACATGTATTTGGACAACTACCAACATTGTGGGTGGATAAACCTTCCTTATTGTTTTGCGTATATATATATATATATTATTAAAACATGTGTTTTTTTTTAATAATTGATTTTCACTTTTTATTTCCAGGTCAACAATTAGTCAAAAAGTATCAGTGAATTCTAAATACTTGTAGCAAGGCACAAGATAAGAGTAACACTACTGATCATTATATCATCAAATCAATGGAACTTGTAGTCATAGTTACAGAATATAATTAGTATATGTTTGTATGATGCTTTGATTAACCCTTTCTAAACCCTATTATTAAATACTCGTTCCATTTGTACTTATTTATTGTAGAGATATTTATGAGACAGTGTTAAATTAAATGTGTCTTATCCATAATTTGTGTATCACAGCATTTCAAGGTCATTTTGATCATTTTGCGTCGCATCCACAATTTATAACTAATACTGATTCATTTCAATATGGCGGAAAATGTAACTCGTGTACAATTCGGTTTATTAGTTGTAATGTGTCACTAACACAGTTAGCGTCTCTTATAAAATCGACCTCAATTATTGGGGAATTCAATTATTATATATAATATAACTATGTTGTCATTACCATCTGTAGTAGAATCAATGCATTTATCGTTTTTTTTTATAATTGATTGAGAAAAATGGCCATTTGTGTTATGTGTAGACTCGGTCGAAGTTGTCAATGACGCTCGATTACCGGCTATACTAGAATCGCTTCTTCGGTCTGTTTTTCCGTTTCGCTATCAAAAATAAAGCAAAAGCAGTGAAAAGGGCAGAAGACGTTTTTTTCTTCTTTATTTTGCGTTATCATACAAATAAAATGTGGGATTGGGCGCCGGTCGTAAACGGACCACACTATCACGCGGCACATATGCGTGATTGTACTTTGCTCATTTCATTTAACGATTGTTTAAAATTTGTTGACGTAATTATTGTTTCATACTCGTATATGCATGAGTTGTCATAACCAGTTCCAGCTCTGTGAAATGTTAAAGGTGGTCGTCGCGCCGTGGTCTGATCAATAAGAGACTCATAACGACGTATACAACGTAAAATACATTGTTTGTTTACATGAAATTAAAACATGTGCTGCGCGACGACCACCGCGCTTTAAGACCAGCAACGTTATAGTTAGTTTATATTGTGAAGATTGCTCGTTTAGTTTAGTATGCATTTTAGAATTGTTTGAAACTTATATCGATCGTTATATATCCATGCGTATATTTACTTGTGTATAATAAAAATTAAAGTTTAAATACGTACCAATATATATATATTGAATGATGATAATTGCATGTCGAATAGTGTTACAAAGCGACTAATGTATCTTTCAGAATTCAGGGAAATTATCACACCTACCCATAAAACATGTTATAATAGAATTTTAAAATTTGGATTATGTTCGTAATATATATACCAACATTATTTGACTGGTTGAATACTCTGCCTAATAATACAACTCAGATTGTACATAACCCATTAAATATACAGTGCATACAACTAGCTATGTATTAAAACACCACGAGAAAGTGTGGCTTTACAAATATAAAACAAAGGTTTTTACCAAGGTCAAGTAAATTGCGACAAGGTTCTTTCAATTACAATGGGTAGGGATGCGTTGTCCAATTATTACTATATTATTAATAATTATATCTCACTTTTAGACCAACATTTCAGTACTGCATCGGAGGTCAGAGTAAATATGAGTTGAGAAACCGGGACAAACCCCCGGGCAGATGGCTCCTGGATGCAAGATTTGTTACCATATATTTGAGAAAAATCATCTCAGTTCTAGACCATAATATTTCAATATTTATAACCACTTCTATACAAACTGGCATGGAAAAGAACGTGGGCGGCACATGCCAGTATTGCTCTTCTATGTGAGATAGAAATCCGATAAAAATAGTTGCATGTGTGATTTCGTGAAAGGAAAATGTTATACATCAGATACATGTACATTGTGTATATTACCCAAACTGTTACCCTGCAGTTGATAGTAACTGTAGAGATAACCAATATATGACAAGTAAACTGGTGATGGTGTAGAACCATAACTGCCTCAGCTCAAAGACTGTTATGTAATACAAGGGAATGTAAAGGGAAATGTATTGTAATGTTACCTCTGTGTAACAATATATCCGCATTTACCTTCACTATTAAGGAACAATATGGGAGTAGAAGCAAGGCTACGCAAATTTGCGAAATAACAGTTAGTTAGAATTACCAGACATTGTGGGATATAAAGAAGTGGCATATTAACCAAACAAACATACTCGCACATATCCATACATGTCTTATTGTGTGGGGGAAAGCTGTCATGTACACAATCATAATAACTGGAAATGGTTTCACAACAAAAAACAAGTGTTATTGCTGTAAATAATTATGAACAATAAAAACTGAAATTTAGAAAAACTATGAACAAAAAATAATGAAAGTCTGTGATTTTCTACACAATTTCCAGGAAATTATTAACCGAACCATAACATTTATATAAAGCACAGTGCTGAGATTCACTTCGAGTATATTAGAAATATAATCTTACAATTGCATATGAGTCGTCAAAACGTACAGTTTGGTGACATAATTCAAATTTTGTATAGTTCAATATGCATACAACCACCCATGTACTAGTACATTTTGACAATAAACCTCTCTTTCACATTGTGCAAATACAAACAAGACATTAAACCTTCCTGACAGTAACATGTAAGCGTTGTATTAATCCGAATGAAAAGACTTGAGTCACGGCGAAAACTTCTATCGAGTCGCCCAATGTGCGGGGTCATTAATTAAATAATATTAATTTTATTAATATCTACACATTCCCCGGAGGGATTGGCAATGGCTATAAATGTTTAAGAAAGAATAAAAGGTTAACAAAATTAGCTAATACATTACTATAACAGAGAAAGAAAATATTAAGACTAAATTATTATAGAATAAAAATATAGAAAAAATGCTTAAACTATGAACGAAAATTGTCACTGGGGTTGCTGTCTTATTTCAAAACACTTCTTTAGGCACTTTGCTACAGGGAGTGTTAGACCACTGTTGTTTAGCAAGGCTATGAATTGTGTCTTTGGTGACAAATTTTGGTTTTTGCCATTTCTATCGGGGGTACAACTTTTGCATGACATCATTAGGTGATATTCATCTTCTACTTGATTCTGATCACAAAGGTTACATAATCTATTAGCAAGGGGTATTTCGTTGTGTCTGTCAGTCACAATATTTTGCAGGGTAACAAGGTAGGTTTCAAAAGCAAAATGTTTTTTTAATTCTCTGTATGTTCTTAATTTATTTATATTTCATTTTGGTTTGATTAATTGTCGTTTTGTAATTCACTTTTCCAAGTTGATATAAATGATGTTTGTATATTTTTATTAATTTGTCCAAATCGCCTTGTTGTTAGAATTTCATTGTTGTCAACCAGGTTATACCATTTACTATTAATTTCTTAATATTAATAATTTACTATTAAACTCAAAAACATCGTAATGTTATTACTTCTACACCAGGCAACACCAATTAAAACCAACATCGATTTAGAATTACTGTGGTCAATGACATTGAAATTTTTTGCTTTTCCATAAAGCAGCAGTTTCCCTTTTTTAATAATCAAAACTACCCTTGATACCCTGGAGATGTATGTCAATTGTTTCACAACAACGACTATCCCAAGAGATTTTCGTCTTCTCAATTTCTCAAGATAAACGTCCCAGGGTTGTTTTGTTTACGAGAAGGAAATGTCCTTTGACAGCATTACTTGAATTAATTTCCATTGCACAAAAAGCAGCAAATACTCTTACTGAAGCACAGAATTGGCATGATTTTTCCCGGCCATTCACGCAAACTGCAAATCAAGACTTTTACCGCATCCATAGTTGTTGACAGCCAATGGATGATGATGGATGTATTGTGACCCCCGGATTCTGACCTTGCATTCTTGCCACATTTACTTTTATACCCGTTCAATTATTTCATCCAGATTCCATGAAATTTTATATTTAAAACCAACCTTTATTTCACAGTCACTCAAGTTTTCACTTTTCTAAAATTATCTTACTAATCAAAAGACTTTTCACTCCCATCATGCATTCTCCCATAGTACTTCCGCAGACGCAGCGGCGATCGCCAACATATCTACAAATAACCTCGCTCTCAGGAGCTGAGGAATAATACATATAATGCCCTCTAGTGGCCATATATCCAGATACTTTTGCTCTGTATGTTTGTTCGTGTTACAGTGGAGTAAACCTCATGTCTGTACGTTTCACCTGACCTAATAGTCTCTTGTTTTATTAGCGAATATTACATGGTGGCAGTGGTGTTTTGACTCACAAAAATGGCAGATCAAAACCAAGCAGTTCCAGGAACACCACAACAAGCAACTCAACTTCCAATTCCCGAGAAATTTGATGGATCAACCGGACCAAAACAAGAAGAACTGTGGCCAAAATGGCTGAAACATTTTGAATGCTACAGAATGGCTTCAGGTCTCCAAAACAAGACAGAACGTGAACAGGTCAGTACACTACTGTACGCTATGGGAGATTGTGCAGATGATATCCTCACAACACTGCGAATTGACGAGGAAACCTCCACATATGAGGATGTGAAAAAAGCCTTGAATGAATATTACCAAGTTCATCGTAATAAAATAGTGGAGTGAGCAGATTCAATAAACGGGTCCAAACACATGGGGAACCCATTGATGTCTTCATACAAGATTTATATCACTTAGCTGAAGACTGTGATTATGGTGTGTTGAAAGATGACCTTATAAGGGACAGAATCGTTGTAAGAGTTTTAGATGACTCACTGTCAGATCACCTGCAAATGAAATCAACCCTTACACTCGCTATCGCTGTACAAACATGTCGTCAGGCCAAAGCTAGAAAACAAAGTCGTGAAGTAGTTCGTGGGGACACTAGTATAAAGCCAAGTAAAGTTGATTTTGTAAAACACTCAACTGCATCCCGTAGAAGTAACCAGAAATATAAAGCACAGCCAAAGTAAAGTGACAAACATGGTTACAGCTGTACTAGCACACAAACACAAGATAGCTGTCGATGGTGTGGTGGTCAACGTCACGATACAGATTCCATTTCTCGGAGAAGTATATGGAAGTGATGACTACTGGAGTGCAGTAATAAAGGTAAACGGACATGACACACACTTCAAATTAGATACTGGTGCTACAATGTCAGTCATTAGCGACAAATTACCATGGCTGAGTTCAACTCGTCAATCGCTTCGCGGACCAGCAGGTACTCAGCTTCCAGTAATCGGTACATTCCGAGCTACGCTAGTGTACCATGAAAATAAGAGATCCGAGACTGTTTATGTGATAAAGAACCAGGCATGTTCATTATTCAGCAGGAATGTGTGCGTTCAACTGGGAATATATGTTGATGAAGTGCGAAAATCAGACCCAAACACACCAACCAACTTCAGAGCAGAATTCCCAGCATTATTCAAAGGTCTAGGCAAGTTAAAGTCTGAATATCACATAACACTTTGCGCTGACCCAGAGCCAGTATGTCTATATACACCGAGAAAAGTACCACACCCATTACTGCACAAAGTGAAGACAGAAATTGAGACAATGCTACAACAGGGAGTAATTTCTCCAGTAACTGTGCCAACTAAATGGTGCTGTGGAATTGTACCCGTACCTAAATCAAACGGTAGGGTTTGCATCTGTGTTGATCTCACACAACTGAATAAATCGGTTCAACGTGAAATACATCCAATGTCGTCAGTAGATAAGAGCCTGTCTAAACTAGCCAAGAGTAAGCTATTTACCAAACTTGATGCTAATAGCGGGTTTTGGCAACTCCCACTAGATGATGATTCAAAGCTTCTCACAACCTTCATAACACCGTTTGGGAGATATTGCTTTAATCGTCTCCAATTTGGTATAAGTTCGGCTCCAGAAATATTTCAACGCACCCTATCAGGTGTCCTCGAAGGACTAGATGGGGTAATTTGCCATATGGATGATATTCTAATTTATGGGTCTAACCAAACAGAACATGACAAACATGTCAGAGCGGTCCTACATCGTGTACAGCAAGCTGGACTAACACTTAACGACAAATGTGAATTCTCGAAAGACACAATCAAGTTTCTCGGACACATCATTGATAAAACGTGAATACACGCGGATCCTCAGAAAACCAACGCAATTGCTAAATTTCCTGTGCCAACAAATAATACCGAATTACAGCGTTTTATGGGAATGGTTAATCAACTAGGAAAGTTCATCCCAGGACTTGCAGATCGCAATGAGCCATTACTCGAATTGTTACATAAGGAGAATGCCTGGGTTTGGGGTGAATCTCAAGCAAAATCATTACAAGAGATCAAGAAGTGTCTAGTATCGACTGAAGTCCTCGCACACTATGATCCAAATTGTCCTACGATTATCGCAGCCGACGCATCAGCAACAGGCATCTGTGCTGTTTTACTACAAATACAAGACAATGGAAAATGACGACCAGTCTGCTATTCATCACGATCACTCAGCGACACAGAAAAACGATATGCAGTTATTGAAAAGGAGGTTCTCGCAGCGACATGGGCTTGCGAGAAATTCACTGACTATGTACTCGGACTATATTTCTTATTAGAGACTGATCATAAACCCCTAGTACCACTCCTGAATACTACAAAGCTTTCAAAAATGCCGCCATGCATATTACGCTTTCGTCTAAGGATGATGCGATTTAACCCAATGGTCAGTTATGTACACGGTACACAGCAAACAACTGCGGACGCCCTATCATGCGCACCAATCGGTATACCAGAACAAGTTGACACAGCATTCAGCGTGGAAGTCGAAAACTTCACCAAGCAATACATACAGGTACTTCTCGCAACTGCAAAACGTATACACGACATTATAGAAGCACAGAAAGCTGACGAGGAATGCACGCAAATACGAGAATATTGTCTACATGGATGGCCTGCATACATGCCTCACTAGCCATTACTACATCAGTACTGGGAAAACAGGAGCCATCTCACAGTCACCGATGAACGAATCATAATTCCACGAGACATGCGACTTGAAATACTTGACTGCATTCATCAAGGTCATCTGTGAATTACTAAATGCCGTGCAAGAGCCCGGACATCAGTATGGTGGTCTGGGCTCTCTACAAGCATCGGAGATCTGATATCTAAATGTTTTACATGTGCCAAACACCGTCCAGAACCTACTGAGCCAATGATGTCATCATCATTTCAATCTCGTCCATGGGAACGAGTGGGAATGGACCTCTTTCAATACAAATCCAGAGTATACATAATAGTGGTAGATTACTACTCTCGATGTGTGGAAATAAAGAAACTATCAACGTTAACATCCGAGAGCGTGATCACTTCACTGAAAGAGATGTTCACTGAACATGGAATACCTGAGATTGCAATGTCTGATAACGGACCACAATTTAGCTCAGAATTTTTCAGTCAGTTTGCAGCAATATATAGATTTGTCCACATAACCAGTTCACCCAGATATCCACGATCCAATGGTGAAGCTGAAAGAGCAGTACAAACTGTCAAAGATCTGCTCAAGAAAAATGAAGATCCATACCTCGCTCTTCTCTCCTACAGAACCACACCACTACAAAATAATCTTGCGCCAAGTCAGCTACTGATGGGAAGGCTACTACGCACACAACTACCAATGCTCCCAAATACTCTACAAGCACGACTTCGCAATGAAGATCTTGAGGAAGTAAAAGAGAGTGAAGACATCTAACGATCTAATCAACAAATTAAGTTCAACCAGCAACATCGAGCGTGTGAACTTCCCATACTTCACCCTAGTGACAAAGTATGGATTCAAGATCAAGACCGACATGGTCATATAGTAAAGACCACTGAACATCCACGATCTTACCTTGTCAAATCTAATCAAGGTATTGTTAGACGCAATAGGAGAGCACTAGTTCACACTACTAATGAACCGGAATCTCCAAAATCTAAAGCTCATTCATCTCCAGTGAAATACACACCAGATTCTACTGATCAACAAACAAACGCCCAATCTATCACCGCAAAAGACCATCCAAGCAAACCTGGTAATGGCATTGTAAAAACAAGGTCTGGAAGAATTGTGAAGATGCCAGAACGTCTAGATTTATAGTAATATCACCAAAGCAGACATTGAAATTAGTTTAGCAGTTCATTATTAGTGAATATTATGTTAGTTGATATATTGCAGTTAGAGTTAATGAATTACATTATGTTGTGTTGTGTTCAGAGAAACATTCGTGGACGAACAATAGCGAGAACACTTGATACAGGACATTGGTTTCAGTTCAGCCCTTCTGTACTTTGAAGGGAGGTGTAGAGATAACCAATATATGATAATAGATATAGCGCCCTCTAGTGGCCATATATCAAGATACTTTTGCTCTGTATGTTTGTTCGTGGTACAGTGGAGTAAACCTCATGTCTGTAAGTTTCACCTGACCTAATAGTCTGTTGTTTTATTAGCGAATATTACAGTAACCAATGCAAATACCTAAAATCACGTCAACCTCGAGAGCTCACTAGGCAGTGAAGGCTGTGACACCCGTCTAACCGGCGGGTGTCTAGATACGAGCCGTTGAGGGCGCAACTTCGGTGTCTTAGGTTGCAAATTGTTAAAGCGCGGTGGTCGTCGCGCAGCGCGTGTTCAAATTTCATGTAAATAAACAATGTATTTTACACGCGTTGTATACGTCGTTATGAGTCCCATATCGAACAGGACGCGGCTCGACGACTACCGCCCTTTAAGCTGGCAAAGTATACCTCTGATGACTATAGTTACAGAGTGCGGTGAATGGCTAACAAGATGTACGCTTTTTTGTAAAAACCAAGTGCCAACCATCTACACATTTTGGTATTGTTCGGATAGACTAGGTCGAGACTCGGGGAAGCAGGAACAACTATAATTATAAAGTTAAAGCTAACCACCGTCCCTGGTGTTGGGGGTGGGGCGATAGGTGATCTAACCAATCACTCCCAAGGATATTCAGTCCAACTACGCCGATTAGTATAAATGTTATGTAAATAATCAATCAAAATATTCATAATCGTTGAGTAACGAAGGTGTCGAATTGATATACTCGTAGCTATTACAAGTATACACTATTGTACGTTGAAATGACTAGGCGCATACCTAGACATTCCAGCCCGGTCGATGAACGGTTTATAAATTATTAACTTTGTTAACCGGCCAAGGTCTTGAACTAATAATACGCACACTGATAACACGAATAAACAACACTAGTGTCAACAAGCAAAACAAACCACTCAAATCGTGAGCGGACGCCCGAACGATCGGATGTGTACTACTGGTTCAAATTCACTTCTAGAGGATCGACCATATTATATCCATGGAGGGAATGAAATTGACATCGGGTTTCATACTTTGTCTTCTATTATTTGCACACAGAATAAGTGGTGATACGAAAGGTAAGTGGCATACATCTCAGGTCATGTACTTTGAACCTTGTCGCAGAACAATCATGATGTAAGAAGCGACGCGGTTATCGTGAATGTTTGATTTGTGGGTTTTTCAATTTCAACAATCGTACATGACGGACAATCGCGACATTGATGTTGAGATCACCGCGGATATAACTTAAAGTTAAAAAACGGGCTTAATTTGCATTACGGATGCTGTGTTCGTTGTATTCTAGATCTATTACACTGCCCTAATGTTGTTGGTTGCTGACCGAAAGGTCGAGGTCATCATAGACAATCTGATTTAAGGGTGGGTGATTATTTCTACAGGATGTACAATTGCTAACAACGACGAAACGTTTGCGAATACAAAAAACATACCTAGGCACAAAAACAGAGACTGGACTTGTTGGTATTGTTACATCAACCGTAATCAATCTTCTATCCAATTATTCAGGTTACTAGTATGTTTATTGTGGTTATGTTATGTTTTCACCACGTTGCTCGGCATTTCGTCGAAAGTTGAAAATGTCATTCTTTAAGTATTCAAATACAAAGAAATGTAGTTCGAATTGGAAGACATATTGCGTGTAATTGTCAGTTGTGTAAAAAAAATTATGTTTGGAGATCTAAAGGCAGGAAAAGTGGTCACACCTGAATCGCAATTAATTACATCATGGGACCTTCCATGGCTACCATGGTTACATCGAGTAATACCAATTGATATCATTTTGCTATGCAATGTTCAGCATTATAATATCATGAACAAACAAGTCAGTCATTCACTACCGAACCTTCGATCAGTGCACAACCCCACAAAATGTCAATCAACTGACTTTCCACCAAAGAACATAAAATCTTATACAAGCACGAGCAAGGGTACTAGTATGATCATAGATACGTAGCTGGTGAGTTACTCCAAAAACAGAGCAAAATGTGAAATTCTAAGTTACCCTTCGTGTCCTTGGCCATGGCGTTATGCTCAAACGTAAACAAAATTCGCATTTTAATAGTGATAGAAAACTAAAATTCAGTCTTCAAATACACCCAAACTATAACTGTTTTTGCATTAAAATACTTAAACCAGAATTGTGGATGAAGGTATGTACTTTGCATTATGTGTGCTATAAATGGTAAGTGTTTTTAAAGTGGTTTAGCCACTCGTCATTTTAGAGTTTGTGCACACTTAACTAGAGATTATCCATAACGCTCTGTTTCATTTTTATATGTCTATATATTGAACGCAATAATGCGAATATTTGTAATGTAGAATATCCGTGAGTCCCAAACTACTACATGCGTACAGGATGGGGTTGGTTTGTTCGGTAAGTTGTTTAGGAGAATGTGTGCAGCATGGAGCTCCATGTTTGTTGCTAGCTGACTTGACGGTGAATGACTTGTTTGTTTGTCCTTGGTGTTACAATGCTAGATATTGTCTTTAACATTCAAAAGTCTTTTTTGGCAGATACAATAAGCTTGTTATACAATGTCACCTGTCTGATATATAGACCTAAATATTCAAACAGAAATTTTTGATTATGACAAAAAAAAAGATATATGGCGGGTGCCACTAAGAAGCAGAAAGTTCTCTCGCCTATCGACACACCTGACAATACAATACGATTAGACTTAAAATATACTATGAGTATTCACTCTAGATATATTTTTGTGGTATGTGTTGGTTCTTGGATATTTCAGTCTCGTCGTCCTGTATTTCGTTTAGTAATTCGCGTTTTCAAGATTGCGTAAAAACAGATAGTTTCACGATTGTGACACGGAGAATGCCTGGGCTAAATCATTTGCTGAGGGACGGCCGCTTAGGTAAACTATGTGCATTCTAACTTGCAGCACATGAATCTAAAGGCAATCAAACAAAAAGGGACTTTTTACTAAAGTACGTTCAAGATCTTCAGTTTTTCTCACTTATTATGAAACCCTTAAAAGCGAGTAATTCCGATTCCCTCAAGGGTAAACAATGGGTCAGTCCCGCACTTTATGCTACGAATTGAAAGATTTTGTTTCTGATTCACGCCGTGTTTATTTGCCTTCAATTACCTTTTGGTGATCGTCACTGCCGTCCCTGGAATCTTGCCGATAACGTTTTGGTCCCAATTTACGTAGCTACGTAGGAAATATAAAAAAAAAACATCTCGTTTTCATGGCCATTTTTAATGGCCTTCCTCGCTTTTAATTATCCTTGATTTTCCCACGCCAGAGTGAATTACGTCATGAAGAATTGCTCTCCGGGAGTCTGTCAAATGAATCCATGTCTTCCATAAAAATTCACAACGGTTTTTGTCGTTTTGGTTCACACTGGTCACCGCATTTCCCGAAATCTTATCAATATCGATTAGGACACAAATATCGTAGCTATCGCCGAAGTAAATAGTCTCTCACCCCTTGGTTCTTAAAATTTGTCATTGCCGGAGTGATTCACGTCTCAATATTAAGTTAAATACCATTTATATTACTCGTGATGATTGATGATTCGATTGCCGACCTAAATAGCTGTATTTAGTGTTCCTATCTATCTCAGACAACCAAACTAAGAAACTAGGGTCACTATCAGAGGATGGGTCTTATTTAGGAACTCCTGTCAAATCAACGTGACTGCATAAGTTACAAGGGCAAATTAACAGCTCCTAAGGTTGGTACTCCCAGAATAGCAACAGTTATTAAATAAATATAAAACTTTTTAATTCTCAAGAGCGATGAAAGGACCAGTTACTGCGAAAGTTACTTGCTACGAAATCTACTTACCGCGATAGCTACTCATCGCAAAGCAACTGGTATTTACATAATAATTATTTTTGTTTAGACCCAATATAGAAACAGCGGTCATTTGATTCTACCACTGCTCGTGGGCATACATAAATAAATTAACGGCAGTGATTTGCTTTTGGAAAATAAAATTAAATATTGGAACGTTGAATTAATTTGATTAGTTTTTCAGTAGTTACCACATAGCTTGTACAATCACAATATTCACAAATATGTGGTCATTACACATTTGTTACATACAGCAAGAAGATTTTGAATAAGAAAGATGTCCTGATTTCCGCATTGTCCTTTGTTTTTCAGTGTGCAGTGGAACAAGTAACTCACTTTCAATTATGAATGATGTAGCTGAACGTTACAGAAGATTGACTTCCTTATATGGCAAACAGTGCACGCATATCAACGGTAACTTGGAAATAGTGGGATTGGAAGACCCGGATGTAGACTTGACCTTCTTAGAAAGCATCCAAGAAGTGAGTGGCTACGTTCTCATTGCCCTGAATTATGTACCAACCATGCCTTTGAAAAGTCTACGGGTTATTCGGGGAAACAGTGACTGGAACACCAACGCTCTGGCAGTAGTGTTGAACTATGACCCTATCACAGAGGGATTGGGATTGAAAGAACTTCAATTCTATAACCTGCTCGGTAAGACAAGATTTACTGTATGATGAACTAACGCAAAGTGTTATATCTGTTTTCAATTACGTATTTTTCAATTCACAACTTCAGTGTTCTTTCCTGTCGTCTTGTCGTATGTAACCAACGAATGTTTTTTAATGGAAACAAATGCTGGCAAGGGAAAAGACAATCTATTGAATGTACGTAATAGTATGTGAAGTCCCGAAAAAGCTCAAAAGTTCAAAATAGCTGCTGTCATCAGACAATTGCCAAGTTATCCCCATACCTCACAAAATTGTTACATCTATGCTAGAACAACAACATTGACTGTACCTGTTTAGTTATCAGCATAATGTCAACAAATTCAACAAACTGGTGCAAGATCCCTGCATGAAACTCGACCTCGAATTTCAAGTTCACTATGAAGCAGAAATTGTTGACATGATCGTCCCGTTCCTATGAATTGCACTGTCGGACTAAGATTTAAATGTTGTTTATGGTTACTAAATTGCTTTGTTACCTAATTGGTGTCGATTTATTCTCAATATAATTTGTTAAAATGTTTAATTGTCAATTATTCAATATTTATTGCCTGATAGAAATTAGTGGGACTCACAATGTAAATATATCTTCTAATCGTGATCTTTGTTACGTTGACACTATTATCTGGGATGATATTATCGATCCTTCTACTCAAAAGGCTGTCATCAGAGGTGTATCAAATGGTAAATGTAAGTAGATACCCTCATTTACTCCTCCTT